GCTGGTACTGGAGGTACTGGCGCTATTGGAGGTCCTCCTGGTGTTGGGGCTCCAGGAGGTGCTGGAGTAGCTGGTCCCGGAGGTGCTCGTACTGGAGGTATTGGAGCTGCTGGGGCTGGCGGTGCTGCAGAAGTTGGCGCTGTGGGTGCTGTTGGAGCTGGAGGTGTTGGCGGTACTGGAGCTGGTGGTGCTGCAGGAGTTGTAGCTGGAGACCCTGGAGCTGAGGGTACTGGTGCTGTCTCTGCTGTTTCTTGAGACGATGCGCGGCCGCGGCTGTACTACGTTCCGCTCCTTCAGCAGGTTCTTGGTCCCCCGCCTTCTACTAGTCCTACTCCTCATTTACTGAGTCCACAACTTGTCCAGTCCCAGTCACAGTTACAGCCAGCCTCTCCACTGCCTGGTCCTTCTCCTTACTCTGGACCGACTAATGGTCTTACGGAGCGTCGTGAGCCTGAGTCTCGTCCTGTGTCGCCTGAGTCTCGTCCTGCGTCGCCTTAGTCTCGTCCTGCGTCACCTGAGTCTCGTCGTTAATCGCCTATTCGCGCTGTTCGCACTGGTTGTCGTGGTCCACGTCAGCGTCCTCCTCCTGTCCCTGGCACTCACTCTATGACTCTGCGTCCTTCCACTGCTCCACAGCGTGTCTCTCTGCCGTCTCCTCCTGTGTCCTCTCTTCCTGACGGTCCGGACCCGGAGTCTGACTCTCTTCGTACTTCTGGTCCTACTGTCACGCGTCTCCTGGCCACTGTTGTTACTGACCCTTCCTTTGAGTCCACTGCTGCGTCTGCCTTAGTTGCTGAGCTTGTCGACTTTGCTGCTCACTATCATCTAGACTACGCAGCTCGTCTTGTTGCTGAGCCTGAGTCTGCGTCTGTCTGTCCTCCGTCCGTCGGGGGTGAGTGTGCTCTTGGCACGGACGTCCTTGAGGACAGACAGGAGGAGTTTGAGTGCTTTGCCACTGCTGTACCTCATCTCGTGTCCATGGTGCTTGCCCCTGAGGGAGACCCGGATGCACCAGACATCCCGACCCCACGCTCTTACACAGAGGCGATAGAGGGTCCTTACTCCTCTCAGTGGCAGGCAGCCATGGATGCCGAGATGGCATCATGGAAGTCCACAGGCACCTACGGGTTCCCCTGCCTGGGGCGAACATCGTCATTGGCATGTGGATTTTCAGGGTGAAGCGGCCGCCGGGTTCTCCATCTGTCTTCAAGGCGCGTTACGTTGCACGAGGCTTCAGTTAGCGACAGGGAGTTGACTTCTTCCAGACCTTCTCCCCTACCCCGAAGATGACCTCTCTTCGGGTGCTGCTGCACGTCGCCGCTCAGCGTGACTACGAGCTACACTCGCTTGACTTCAGCAGAGCCTTCCTACAGGGCAGCTTGCACGAGGAGATCTGGCTGCGCCGCCCACCTGGCTTCACTGGGTCGTTTCCTGCTGGTACCCAGTGGAGCCTCCGGCGGCCAGTCTACGGTCTCCGCTTGGCACCCCGTGAGTGGCACGACACACTGAGGACGACTCTTGCGGCTCTTGGTTTTGCTCCTTCCACAGCTGACCCGTCGCTGTTTCTACGCATCGACGCCACTCTGCCGCCGTTCTACGTTCTCGTGTATGTGACTTGGTCTTTGCTACTGCTGACACTGAGGCACTCGCCCACGTGAAGTCGGAGCTGCAGAAGTGACACACGTGCACAGACCTGGGTGAGCTGACAAGCTATCTTGGCTTGCGGATCACCCGGGACAGAGCACAGCGCACCATTACCTTGACTCAGTCACACATGGTGCAGCAGATCCTTCAGCGCTTCGGCTTCACGTACTCCTCGCCACAGTCCACTCCTCTGCCTACCGGTCACCCGCTCTCAGCTCCACCTTCGGACGAGTCCGTAGAGCAGAGTGGCCCGTATCCAGAGCTTGTGGGCTGCCTCATGTACCTGATGAATTGCACACGACCTGACCTCGCATATCCTCTCAGCCTTCTGGCTCGCTTCGTGGCTCTCGGTAGGCACTGAAAGGTGCATTGGGATGCTGCGAAGAGGGTGTTGCGCTACTTGTGCAGTACGTCGGGCATGGGGCTCGTGCTTGGAGGACGGGCTTGAGTTGTCCTCACTGGTCACGCAGACGCTTCCTGGGTTGACGACTTGGCTACGCAGCGGTCGTCACAGGGTTACACCTTCAGCCTTGGCTCCGGTTCTGTCTCTTGGCGGTCTACCCGCTCGTCTTCTATTCTCAGTTCCAGTTGTGAGGCTGAGATCTACGCTGGGGCCATGGCTGCACAGGAGCTTCGCTGGCTCACCTACCTGCTGACCGACTTGGGAGAGGCGCCTCGTTCTCCTCCAGTTCTGTACGTCGACAACAAGGCAATGCTTGCCTTGTGTCAGGAGCACAGAGTGGAGCACAGAACGAAGCACATTGCTTTGCGCTACTTCCTTGCTCGAGAGTTGCAGGAGCATGGTCAGCTTCGTCTTGCTTACGTGGCCTCTCGGGCCAACACTGCTGATGTTTTCACCAAGGCACTTCAGCCTTGTGATCATCAGCGTTTCTGTACTGTTCTAGGCCTTGTACCTAGTGTGCCTCACTTGCTTACTTCTTGACTCTGCTTGTACTGTGATCTCTATATATATACTTGCATGCTTACACTTGCTAGGTTGTGATCACTGTATTGCTTGTTCTCCTTTATATAACTCTGTATGTGAACTGGCCTTGTGGCCATTTGCTTGTGCTCAGAATGCGTGGTGACGTCGTGATCCACCCTGAGCTTGCTTTGCCTTTCTTGACCGGTCTTGTGACCTCTTGTTCTCCCCCACTTTGCCTATGGGGGTGTGTCAAACATATACGCTATTGTCTTTCTAGGCTGTAGTGGGGTAGTTCATATAGGGTACAACACTTTTAGGTTTCCTACTTGTACCCACCTGCTTGCTAGTTCAGTCATTCATTCCTTCACAATTCTGATAGGCTGGGCCCGTGGGCCCTCCCTCTTTCGACAGCGGCTCGTAGGCGCGTGGCGACGTCACGATGACTCGTCACCAATCCATGGCGGGGCCCCTCAGCAGTGAAACAGCATAGCGAATCTTCAGTGTGTCCGACTCGACGTAATTCGCGTCGAAGAAAACGTTCATCGTGAAAACCCACGATTGAATTGTCGGACCTCCACGTTGGCTAGGATCGAAGCAGGGCGGGCACTGCGGCTTTTGTGGCATCGGTGCCATGAGGTCGTTATTGCCACTCGTTGTGGCGAACTCCACGTGCCGACGGGCTTCGCGAGGCCCTTTTGTGCTTGGTGCGGCCCTATTCCTCTCCATGCCAGGCATTGAGTGAGCGGCGCCATCACTAGCTACGCCTGAGCGTTGTCCCACACTGTCGTTTTGTGTCGTTGTGCCTGATGAGATGACGATCGGCTCCTCCGATTGTGCGAGTGCATTTGCAGATGCGTGTGTTGGTGCTGGTGCATTCACCGTCGATTGTTGGCGAGCGGAGTCGCGTTCCGCCATGAGTGTCGCAATTTCGAGGGCCGAATCTTCGAGTTGGTGCACAAGACCATCGAGCTGCTCCTGCGTCCGTGTCGCGGGATTAAATTCGGCCATGGCGGGGGTGTCGGGCAAGCTCAGCGAGAGCCTCTGTCGTGGCCGTGTGTGCTTACGAGAGAGCACTTCGAGCGGAGGTGCTTGTTCGCTGAGAGACGTCTAACCCCCCCAAAAATTGAGATACCGGTAGTGGTGAAACGAAGGTGTGGGTGTGGTCCGAGAGGAGATCGTAGGCTCTGAATACCAAGTGTTACGAGTGCAATTGAGCGAGTGAGCGAGAATTGCACTATCGAAGCAAAAACAGTACAATGAGCGAAGGCATGAGCGAAGAATGTGTAGCGAACTAGAGTGGTAACGGTAATGCGAGAAATTGGGGTGCGCTACGGGCCTAGCACCGAGGTTGGGATGTGTCGAGGCGGAGGTCCGGAGCGCGGGTTACCAACCGAACCGTGAGGTTGGGTCGCATCGTGAACAGTGGCGGGGGTCGTGGTTGAGGCGAGTGTCGCGAGCGGGTAACGTTTTACTGTTGGGTGCTGATGGCGGGAATGGTCTTGTACGCAGTAAGCAGGGGCGCGAGGTAAGGAAAAGGAATTTTCCTTGCATCTACTAAGAGTGGAGTGGACGGTGGAATAAAGCCCCATGTCCCCCAACAGCCTGCTTTTCCTTATAGATATTTTTTGTTTTGCCCCGGGCAGCAAGATTGCTGGGTGGAGTCGTTTGGAGATCTACCGCGCTAACCTGTACTTCCTCCAACCTCTTGCTGCAGTCCTCACTTGTTTGTTCCATTACACATAGCATGAAGTCAGGTGTGTTAGGGGAGAGATTTGCTCTAGTAACGAGTTTCCGTCAAATTGTTAGCTCGCGTAGTGTTGATTTGCAGCAGCAGCTGCGATTTCGTGCGGTACTTGCTGTAGCAGTCGTCCCTGGCGGAGATAGAATTTTCAGGCGTCGCACAGGCGGAGCACAGCCCAGCACGTACTTGCCTCCTCCCGCGCATCCGTAGCCTCGCAGTGTCCGTCGTCGGGTCGAACGCGCAGCGTACCGCAGTGTTCTCGTGTGGGGCGCCGTGGGATGGGCGCGTCGGGGTTGTCGCCGTGGCCGCGTCACCCGCGCTGAGGCCGCCTGCCAGCGCGCCCGCCGCCCCGCCGCTGCACGGCCCGCCTCTGCGCTCGGCGTCGCCGCGCGCTTTTTTCACGAAAGATTCAGTCGAATGCGAACCGGCGCACTTTCAGCGACGTCGTTAACGGAATACGGTTACCTTAGGTTTTCAAGATGCAGCTGCCGCCGCCTCCAAGGCCGCCCTCAACCTCCCGGATAGCCATCGGCAGCGGAGAGTAATGTCGCGCGCACAGCGGGTCTAGTCACATCGTTAGACGACGAGAGGGGAAGGGCGCGGTTAGCCCCCGTAGTGCGTAGGCCTTCCGTCCCCCTACCGTGCGCTGCTGCGCTAAAGCACTGTGGCGGCGGCGGCGGCGGCGGCGACATGAAGCAGTGGAAGCGGCTGACTGGGCTGGCGACGAAGGGCAGAGCGGGTGATGCGCGCGCAGCGGAGCGGGCCTCGGGGACGCCGCCAGGCGCGCAGCAGGCGGGCGGAACGGGCAGGGCGAGGAGCAGCAGCGCGGGGGAGGGAATGAGGGGCATGGCGGTGACGCAGACGGACTCCATGGAGGACGAGTTTCAACAGGGCTTGCAGGTGCGTGGGGCTTGCACCCAAGCATGCACTTATGCAACCATGCACCACTCCCCATCCCCACTGCTCCATAACCCATGCCCGATACCCCGTGCCCAATGCGCCACTTCCCATGTCCCATGCGCCATGGGTGGCAGGAGGTGGGGGAAATGAGGGACAAGTACGAGCGACTGCTGGCAGCCGTGGCGGACGCACAGGAGAGAGCAGCAGGTGCGCAGTTGGGTGGACGTGCAAGCGTGTGCAGTTGAACTAGTGCTCAATCCTTTCCCGCTTCTCTCTGTCTCTGCAACCCCAGCCCCACTGCATGCTCACACCCCTCGCTGCACGGCCCCCTCCCCCCCCACACCACATGCGTGCTGCCATTGGCACTCCTCCCTTCGCCATCCATCCACTTCGCACGCCACCAGGCTCTCCCTGCCACCCTACCTCTCATCCCACCCCCCTCTCCCCGCCCCTCCCCCCCCCCCGTGCGCGCATCAGAGTGTGCGGAGGCGCTGCACCAGCTGGCGGCGGTGGTGGCGGACGCCTTTGGCGGCGTGGAGGAGGGCGGCGCCGGGGACACGCTCCTGGCGGCAGCAGCTGTGGATGGCCGCTTGGCTGAGCTGCTCTATTTCTATGTGAGCTGCTCTATTTCTATGTGAGCTGCTCTATTTCTATGTGAGCTGCTCTATTTCTCTATTATGGAGTATACGCGTTTAGCGTATATAGGCGTGTCGTATATACGCTAGTGTATATACGCTAAACACGAGAGGGGTCTGATCCAGGATACGCTTTTCTGGGCAGCTAAAAAACTTTCCCGGGCATTGAAAAAAAACCTTCCGGGAGTGCAGCAAGGGGGGGGTTCTGGTGGGATGTGTTTCTGGGTGTTCTACATCGGGAAGGTATTCCCGTGATGCAGCTGGAGGATCCCTCGCACTCTCCACAGTCTGGACGGAAGGCGACGTGGGAGATGGAGAGGAGGACATAGTCGTAGGAGCGTGCTATGCTAACTAGCTAGCAGGAGGTGAAAACCGAATGAGATTGACATTTTGACGAGTGGCTTAATAGCATGGTGGGTGATGGGGATGAGGACACGAGTGGTTGGACTGGATAGATGATGTGTGTTTGAATGCGGTGAAGCGGAGCGATTGAATTGTGGCAACGTGCTTGCGTGACTCGACATACTTGACCATGCAATTCTGAACGTGCAAAATGTGAAGGTGATAAACGCGACTCCAGGTCACGAATCCAATTTCCAGCCACGACAGACACTTGACGTGCAATCTGAGTTCACAGAATTGCTCGTCGTGCAATTCCGCTGCTTTTGAGCTATTCAACAAAAATTGGGTAGGCAGGCAGCCCCGAAAAAAATCTGGGCTGCGTATAGCGTTTTCGCTAGCGTTTCGCGTTTAGCGTGTACACGCTAGCGTACAAACGCTAAACGCTTAAGCTCCAAAGCGTATAATCCATCATAGCTATTTCTATGTGAGCTGCTCTATTTCTATGTGAGCTGCTCTATTTCCATGTGAGCTGCTCTATTTCCATGTGAGCTGCTCTATTTCCATGTGAGCTGCCCTATTTCCATGTGAGCTGCCCTATTTCCATGTGAGCTGCCCTATTTCCATGTGAGCTGCCCTATTTCCATGTGAGCTGCCCTGCTTTAACGTAGCGGCGCTGCTTCCCCTCTCAACTCGTCCAGTTGCCCTCTTTCATCTCAATGCTCACTCCTCGTCCTTGTGTCTGCCACCTGCCCGCCACCCGCCCCTGCCCCCCTATGCCCGCATGCCCTCAGAGCCTGCACCTGCAGCAGACACTGGCGGAGCCGGCAGAGGCGCTGCTGGGGGAGATGCAGCACGTGGTGGTGAGATGCAGCACGTGGTGGTGAGATGCAGCAGGAATAAGCATTAGGTATCCTGTGCAATTGGTGTGGCTTTGGCAGGTGTTGCGACCAGTACATTCGCCATGTGCTGTAAGCTTCGAAGATGCTGAAGTGACTAGTAATGCCTAGGTCAATTTACTTCACACAAAAGCCAAACTTAACGGTTGTGGAAACTTGTTGGACCAAAGAGCTAGCAAGAGGAAACATGACTGGGCTAGCACGCACAAACAAGTTGTCAAATTCCCCCTTTTCCTCCCCCTCCCTTCCCCTCCTCCCCCCCAATTCTCAAAACGGCTCGACCTTTGTATCAGTCGGGCCGATGAGATTTCACCTCACATCCTCACCTCTCATCTTCACCCACCGTCCCATCTGCCCTTTGACTCACACTCTGGTTCGTCTTCTTCTGTCCTCCGCCCTCCTCCCTCCACCAGGAAACAAAAGAACTCTACGAGCAGAAGAGGTGAGTGTCAGTCGAATCCGGTCCTTGGTTGCTCGGTTCGCATCACACAACACACAGAAACGGGTTGTGAGTAATGCGCGATGGCGTGATGCCAATGCAGCTGCCGAGCAGTGTCACGCTTGAGACTGCATGCACAGCACAGTGTTCAAAGCGAGTGGGAGGGGTGCACAGAGACAAATGGCCGGATAGTATCGCTACAAGTGGTTGAAACTAAAAGGGAGTTGAAATCAGCAAAGCTAAGCTGGGACTGGCCTGCTCATTTCGTTCCTCTGCACCGTTTTTCACCTCACGTGCCTCACCTCACGTGCCTCACTGCATGTGCCTCATGCCATGTGCCTCGCCCCATGTGCCTCGCCTCATTTCCCTCGCCCCATGTGCCTCTCCCCACGTGCCTCGCCCCATGTGCCTCGCCCCACGTGCCTCGCCCCATGTGCCTCGCCCCATGTGCCTCACCTCACGTACCCCGTCTTGGCTGTTGCTGGTCCCCTATTCCCACTCTGCCTCTTCCCCGCACACCCGCAGGAGGGCGCACGCGGCAGCGGCAGTGGCGGCCAAGGCGAGGCGCAGAGAGGCGGCTGCCATGGGCGTGGGGGGGGGCGCAGGGGGGGAGGCAGAGGGGGCGGGGGGGCCGGAGGAGGAGGAGGCGGCGGCGCGGGAGGAGTTTGACGAGGTGGCGATGACGCTGGGGTGCCGCATCCTGGCGCTGCAGCAGCGCCAACCGCGCCTGCTGCTCACGCTCGCCCTCAAACACCACGCCGCCAAGGTGGGCCACCTGCACTGCACCACCTGTGGCGTGCGCTTGAGACCACACAGGTGTTTCGTTGTGAAGTAATCAGGCGGAGGCAAGGGAAGTTGCTTTCACAGTGCGTGGCAGCCTCCCCTCCATGTTCACTCCATGGAGTGCGGTCGGCCATCATTCACCCCGCTGGCTCTTCCATTCCCTGCACCTGCACCCTCAAGCTCTTATTGGCACACAACACAATCCGTCTGCTGCTCCTTCTGCCCCGAACCTGTCCTCCTCGCCTCCAATGCCCCGCCCGTCCCGCAGGTGCGGTGGGTGCGGGGCAGTGCGAGGGAGCTGCAGCACGTGCAGCCACACATGGTGCACGTGCTGGACGACCTGGGCCTCGCCCACACGCCGCTGCTGGCACCCGTCGCCCAGGGGGACGTGGACGAGTGGGGCAACGAGGGGGGAGAGGAGGGGGTAGCAGGCAGTGTAGTGGGCGTGAGGCAGATCTCCCTGGATGCCTTCAACGTGCCACTGCCATCACCTGTGCGTGCACGCACTTTCTCCTTCCCTCATTCTCATCACCTTATTCACTTCGTTCCACCTGCTTTTTTTTTCCCTTGCTCCATTTCCATCATTCCATCTGTTTCGACATTTGCTCCTCTCCATTTTCTGCATGCATCCTCTCCCTTTCTCTTAACCCCCGCCCCCTATCAATGCCCCTGCCCCTTCCCCCCCCCCCTCGCAGCAAGCTCCACATCAAGGCCCCTCCTCTCCCCCCTCCCCCCACTACGCACACCACCCCACACCCGCACCCATCACTGCCACCATGCCTGCGGCCTCCCACGCGCCTGCGGCAGCCCCTCCTGCCACAAGCGCACAAGCACCGCCGGCCAGCGCCCCGCCCACGCCACCTGCGCCCTCCTCTGTGCTGCCGCCTGCCACCGTCAGGGCGAATGTGCCTGGGGTAGTGCGGGGAGGGCCAGGGGGGATTGGGCCAGGGGCGGGTGGGCTAGGCAGTGCCGTGAGTGGCAGTGCCGTGAGTGGCGGTGCAAGGAGCATGCCTCGCAGTGGGGGGGAGATGGCGGGCATTCAAGCAGCGGGCGCGCCGCAGCAGCCACAGGTGCATGGAGACTCGGCCACAGCACCAGCAGCAGCAGCAGCACTGTCTCAGGGCCGGCATCGCAGCAGCAGCAGCACGGGGGCGCTGGGAGCAGCGCGGGCAGCCCTGGGGGCGTCCAAGTCGGGCCCCATCTCTGCCGCCGCCTACCTGGGCGCTCTGGCTGCCTCTGCTGGCCCCCTGGGAGGGCCGCTCGCAGCCACAGCCGCCACAGGGGGGGGCATGGGGGCAGCAGGCAGCAGAGGGGCGGCGTTGCCGAGGGGAGCAGGTGCAGGCACGGCGGGGCAGGGCAGAGCGCCGCACATGGAGCCCTTTGCACCGCAGATGTCGGGGCCTCTCCCCCGCCCCGAGTCCTTGCTGGCGCCCTCAGGCCCTGCAACTGCCACCCCACCCACACCGCCTGCACCTGCAGCAGCCGCACCTGCTGGCGCTGCCACTGCCGCTGCTGGCGGTCCCAAGCCCACCCCAGCTGGTGCCAAGCCTCCTCCTGGCGGCTCTGCGATGCCAGGCCCAGTGCAGGGGGCTGCGGTGGGTGCTGGCGTGGGGGCAGGGCCAGGGCAAGGTGCAGCAGGTGGGTCAGCAGCAGCAGTGGGATCAGCAGCAGCAGGTGGGTCAGCAGCAGCAGTGGGATCAGCAGCAGCAGTGGGATCAGCAGCAGCTGTGGGATCAGCAGCCGGTAGGGGACGAGGAGGAGGGGGCAGGGGCAGCAATGCAGGTCGGGCGCGAGTGAGCATGTCAGGGCCCATCCTGCGTGGCTCCTACCCCTACGGCACGCCTGCCCTCTCACCCCGACCCATGCTCGCCACCGCCACCGCTCTCCCCACTGCGCCCTCTGCTGCTGGAAGCACCGCACCCAACTCTTCTGCACCCACCCCCTCATTGCCCTCCCAGCCAGCACCACCAGCTTCAGCAGCATCAGCGCCAACAATGCCAACAGCACCCACAGCAGGAGCAGCAGGCAGAGCCCCGTCCGCTGTGCCTCCCAGCCTGCGCCTGCCACAGACGTCCTCTCTGAAGACTCCTGGCAGCAGCGTGCATGCGTTGGTGTCCCCCCGTCCCTCCGCCGCTGCACCCGCACCATTCCATCTGGCCCCCTCGGCGCATCTCCCCTCGATGGGAGCGGGCAGCCGCGCAGTGAGTGGGCCCATCATGCGCGGGTCGCTGTACTCCGCGTTCGGGCTCGTGGGGGATGCCCGCCCCGCCGCCTCCACTGCTGCTGCTGCTGTTGCTGCCGCTGCTGCTGGGCGAACAGCGGTGCTGGGAGCAGCAGGGAGCGCCGCTGGGGCGAGTGGAGCAGCAGCAGCAGGAGCAGGGCGTGGCAGTGGTGGCGGGGTGAGTGCGGTGCGGCTGCACAAGTCAGGCCCCATCGGCCCGTCGCACCCCTACTACTCCTCTCTCGCCCCTCTCTCTCCTCCTCGCAACATGCCCCTCCACGCCCTCCCGCCACCTCCCCTCGACATCCCCCCCACTGCTGCTGCAACTGCTGCCGCTACTGCAGGAGGCATCGAAGGTGCAGAGGGTGGCGGTGCTGGTGGTGGGGATGGGGCAGGCAAGGGGAGTGGGGACGGCAGAGCTGTGGGCAGTGGCAACGCTGTTGCTGCTGGCTGTGGCAGCACAGGAGTGGCAGGTGGGCAGGGGCAGGCGTCCCCTGCTGCCACCTCCGCCGCCCAGCAGCACCACGGCCGCCCGCCACCATCAGGTGCCGCAGCAGCAGAGCCTTCTAGTCGGGTGTGGCAGGGTGCAGGGGGAGGGGTGGGGGGAGGGGGGGCGGCTGCACGGGCACGGGTGAGGGGGGCATCGCGCAACCCATCGGTGGCAACAATCATGTCGGAGGGCAGTGAGGAGGGCGGATCAAGCAGCAGCAGCATTGCCACCTCGCCTGCTTCTTGCCCTGTGCCACTCCCCGTGGTGACCACAAAGATGGGAGTGTAGAGGGGGGTGGATGGAAGGAGACCAAGCGGGGGACTCACTCGTTCTTGGGCACTAGCACATGGGGCCATGTAGAATCTTTCAATCTCTCTTTCTCCATCACCCATGCTTTCCATCTCTTGATCCTCGTCTCCCTTGTGTCCCCTTGCTCCTTTGACTGCGCTGTGGGCCATGCCGTCCGGCACACGAGCATTGCTGTGTGTCAGCTTCTGCATCAAGTTGTTACCGTCATCGCCCGGATAGTAGATAGTGTTGAATAGTAGACAGAGCTTGTCTATTATCCGGATGTCTCTTATAAACAGGCTAGCCTCATTATAAGGCACCTATTTGTGTGTACGAGATAAGGCATGTGTCGTATAATCGAAACTGCAATATATTGTAGTGAAACTTGAAATACCGCGTACATTTTTACCCTTGCGATGCGCGAATTCTTCCACGTGCTGACTCAGATACTACCAAATTTGCCTCTGCAAGTATTTTCCATGACGTGGCTTCCCGAACAATGGTTGCCAAAGTGACACATTCGCAACATCCGCACTCATTATGAGAAACTCTCTTCAAGATGTGTGAAAAAAAATCGAAGTAGTTTAAAATGTTTCCATTTATAAGACTTACCGTATCACCCCAGATAGTAGCGCATATGCGCTTAAAATTAAATTGATTTTTTCAAGGGGGGCGCTTATAATTGAGTTTCGGGCATAAGCGCATGTGCATATATAATGACAAATACAAAATTATACTTTTAGGGTACCAAACTGTACCTTTCATTATTGCCATTTCAACCGAGTCGAAATAATATAGCATCACAAAGCAGAATCGCGCCCAAGCGATTCTGCTTCCTGCACACCGGCAAGTTCACGTCACTTTGCAGACATGCCAGCACATCCCGATTGGACGCGCAGCCAGTCAGGTCTTCGCGAGTCAAACGAAGCGAAGATGAAACTTGGCTCGCTGCGAAATTGAAACTCGTTACCGTTTTAAACATATTTATAATTTCAGAATGTAGGTGCGCTTATAATAAGTAAAGGTTTTCCAGGGGGGGCGCTTAAATCGAGTTTCGGCCATAAGCGCCATGCTCCAGATAGAAGAGCCGGCGCCTTTAATCGGATAGCGCCTATATCCGGCGCCTATATCCGGGGCATAAGCACTTGCGCTTATATAATGACACCCAAAACCTCCCCATATGCAAGATAACCCAAGCATTTTTTCTAGTGTACAAGATAAGACATATATGTCTTATATCCGGGCGATGACGGTAGCTTCATGCTGCGGTGAAGTCTAGCAGCGGCCGCAGCATGGCCTGTATGGCGCACTGTCTCCATGCTCCACTACAGCCATGTCAATAACACTGCCAGTGGAGAGAGTGGAGCTACTTACGTTACTAACTTACTACTCTAAACCGACTGTATTTCTCCATATGCATCACCCTCGAGTTATCTCAGGACCGGAGAGTATGCACAGCCCTTTGTTTCAGCAAATTTTAGTTACACATATAGCAACATTATAGAAGTGAATTACGGTATTTAGTACCGTATCGTATGATATTTAGCCCCCCTTCCACTATAGAGAAGTTCTTCTAAACCTGGGTCTGAAGAAGAAACTGTCAGAACTAACGAACAAGAATGAATGAACTATGAAACAGTTGGGTACAAGTACTAACCCTAATTGGGTTGTACACCTTATGTGCTACCACACTATAGCCTACACACATGTAAGCACTATAACATTAAGACACACCCCTATAGACAAAGTGGGGGAGAACAAGTGGTCACAAGACCAGTCAAGAAAAGCAAAACAAGCTCAGGGTGGATCACAAAGTCACCACACAGTCCGAGCACAAGCAAAGGGCCACAAGGCCAGTTCACATGCAGAGTTATATAAAAGAGAACAAACAATACAGTGATCATACCCTAGAAAGTGTAAGCACACAGGTATATCTATGGATCACAATACAAGCAAAGCCGGAACTAAGGCTGAAGGTGTAACCCTGTGACGACCACTGCGTAGCTGAGTCGTCAACCCAAGAAGCGTCTGCGTGACCAATGAGGACAACTGAACCCCGTCCTCCAAGCACGAGCCCCATGCCCGACGCACTGCATAAGTAACGCAGTACCCTCTTCGCAGCATCCCAGTGCACCTTTCGGTGCCTACCGGGAGCCACGTAGCGAGCCAGAAGGCTGAGAGGGTACGCGAGGTCAGGTCGTGTGCACGTCATCAGGTACATGAGGCAACCCACAAGCTCCGGGTACGGACCACTCGGCTCTACGGACTCGTCCGAAGGTGGATCTGAGAGCGAGTGGCCGGTAGACAGAGGAGTGGGCTGTGGCAAGGAGAACTGGAAGCCGAAGCGCTGAAGGACCTGGTGCACCATGTGTGACTGAGTCAGGGTGATGGTGCGCCGTGCTCTGTCCCGGGTAATCTGCAAGCCAAGATAGCTGCGCAGTTCACCCAGGTCAGTGCAGGTGTGTCTCTTTTGCAACTCCGACTTTACAAGGGTCAGTGCCTCAATGTCAGCAGTGGCAAAGACCAGGTCGTCGACGTAGACGAGGACGTAGAAAGGCGGCAGCGAGGTGTCGGTACGTAGAAACAGCGACGGGTCAGCATTAGAAGGAGCAAACCCAAGAGCCGCAAGTGTAGTCCTCAGTGTGTCATGCCACTTGCGGGGGGCCTGGCGGAGACCGTAGACTGGCCGCCGGAGGCTCCACTGGGTACCTGCAGGAAACGACCCAGTGAAGCCAGGTGGGCGGCGTAGCCATATCTCCTCGTGCAGGCTGCCGTGTAAGAAAGTTGTGCTGAAGTCAAGAGAGTGAAGCTCGTAGTCACGCTGAGCAGCGACGTGCAGCAGTACCCGAAGAGTGGTCATCTACGGGGTAGGGGAGAAGGTCTGGAAGAAGTCAACTCCCTGTCGCTGACTGAAGCCTCGTGCAACATAACGAGCCTTGAAGGCAGGCGGAGAACCTGGCGGCCGCTTCACCTTGAAAATCCACATGCCATCAACTATATTCACCCCAGGAGGGGGGACTGCGCCGACGTAAGTGCCAGTGGACTTCCAAGATGCCATCTCGGCGTCCATGGCTGTCTGCCACTGAGAGGAGTAGGGACCTGTAATCGCCTCTGCGTAAGAGCACGGGGTCGGGATGTCTGGTGCATCCGGGTCTCCCTCAGGGACAAGCAGCATGGAAGTGAAAGAAGGTACAGCAGCCACAAGACACTCAAAGTCCTCGTGCCTGTCCTCAAGGACGTCCATGCCAAGAGCAAACTCACCCCCGACGGACGGAGGACTGGTAGACTCAGACTCTGATATAGTCACAATAGGCTTGAATGTGCCTAAAACGAAAGATAGAGAGCACAGACGGATTTCTGCAAAGCGGCTTCAAACGTTGAGAGCGTTCTGCTCACAGCTGCAAATGACTTGATTCAAATTGGATTTGGAGCGTCTTTACGTCACCTACAATAAGCAATTTAGATTGCACGATTTCATCAAGCATTGACGACGCAACGTCGGTTTGAACGAACGGCACTATGGCAGCCACTATAGATTTAGAACACAAAAATTAGGAAGAGTTACGAGTTGGGAATGACTCCCAGCTCCTACAAACCCCAAGAGCCAAGGTACAGTGATGTGGAACAGTGCCACACTGTCCCCAACCATGAAGGGTCTCGAAACTACCCTCCACAAGGGTCTACACCAAGAGAAATGTTACACTACACAAAGTAATTCAAGTATTCTCACTATCTTAAAGTTTACCCTTTTTTGGAGAGCTTCGAAATCACTTGAATCTTGAAACCAAGGCTCTGGTTCTTCAAGATAAAATCTTCCATGAGTTCTTGGAATTCTGCTGCGCACACCTGCGACACGCCGAACGTTCGACACACGACAAAATAGAAAAACGCACACGACACGCAATCAACGACGTGACACGCGACTAGCGATAACTCGCTATTGAATCGACACACACATTCAAAACCATGCCTCATCATTCACACACTATTATAAGCATGAAATATATATATTATCTCATGCCCTCATACCATTCCATGCTCACACGCATGCACGCATACGGACAACAAGCCGAATGCAAACCGTAGGGTTGCACCAACAGTCTCGCCCTTTGCCGCCAGCAGAGGAGTCAGCGTCCTTCACCGAGGTCGACGACTTGGTCGACTGCTTCACCTTGCGCGGCCGGTTTCTGCCTCGACGGGGACGACGGCTGCCAGACCTCCCGCGACCTCCCTTGGCGTCGTCGTCGTCGGAGTCACTGCAGTCGGGGCACTCGAAGGAGAGGTGGTTGGGGTCGCCGCACAGCCAGCACTCCCGAAGTCGACTTCCTCCTCCACGACCGCTATCCTTGGCCGACTTCTTCTTCTCGGCGTCCTCAGTCAGCTTCCAGCCACTGCTACCACCGCCGCCAGACTGCCCGCGCTGCCCCGTTCGACCACCTTGCTTCACCGAGACGACGTAGTTTACATGTGCAAGGAGCTCCAAGGGCCGGTCAGCTTCCTGCATCGCCTCATCCTGCATGATGTAAGAGGTAAGAGAGTCCTCGTTGAGTGTCGCCCTAGTACTCGGCACTTATGACAGTCGTTTCAGCAGGTTGTAGGTGCTCGTGAGCCCTTTCATAATGTGCGTGAGGTACGACGCCGTCGCGTAGTGCACGCCGGCCATCCTCATGGTGGCGAGAATTCGACGAGCCCGGTTGCGGTAGTCAGTCGCCGTCTCCTCTTCGCCCATCAAAATGTGCGACAACTGCTCCTCAAGCTGGCCGATGTACAGGGCGTCGGTGACCTGGTACGTCGACTCGATGAAGTGCCATGCCCGGTGGCCGGCGTCGAGGTACTCCCTGCACGACTTCAAGGCGATCGGCATGTCCGGCGAGCAGCACCGCGAGATGACAGTGAAGGTCAGAAACTGCACGGCGCAAAACTCCGCACGCAAGTCGGAGTAGTATTCCTCCGGCGTCGCCACAGTGCCCCTGGCGAAGCCGATCAGCCTGGCCATCTCC